TTTGAACTGGAGATCCTGCAGCCAGACTCCAGGTCCTTACTGCCAGGACCCAGTGGTCCCTCTAAGGCTGACGTGGTGTGAGCTAGCTCACAGTTATTTAGCCTCTGGCTTCCACATATTTGTCCAAGCTCAGGAAGGGACGGCTCCAGAGCAAACTAATTTATGCAGTGGCCAAATCTCTCCCTCACAACTTTAAGGCCAGGAGCTCACAAAGTAGAATTTTTGCTCACAAGCAGGGCTCTTTTCGTAGCAGGAACTCCATTGCATATTAGGCGACACACCCCTAATGCAGCCAATCCTCCAAGAGCTTACAGTAGCCCCTGTAAGAAGAGCTCTGTAAGCTCTTGGAGGATTGGCTACATTAGGGGTGTGTCGCCTAATATGCAGAGGAGTTCCTGCTACAAAAAGAGCCCTGCGTGTGAGTCACAAGACTCCACAGCTTAGAGGGAGCACTGCCTGGACCTTCACATCTGTCTCCACTGCAGGCTTGGCAGAGGGCTTTAGGGGCACCATCCTGCCTGCAGAATGCCACGCCCGCCTGCTCCTGAGTCTTGCTACCTGCTCTTGGCCTCCACTTGGCCGCGCTGCCTCTCTGCCTCTAGCTTCAAGCCCCAGACCCGGCTGCGCATCCCCACACTCAGTTCTGGCAGATAAAATGGAGGAGGGGGGGGGACCCCTCCTAAGAGAAAATGGCTTTGCCTCCAAACACCCACTGCCTAGCAAAGCCTGAGCGAAGAAGACTGGCAAGATGAGGCCTCTGGGGAAAGAGAGCAGGCAGCAGGCCTCTCCTTTGACTACCTGGCTTCTCCCCACCAGCCGCGTGACACATCAGGGCGCCAGGAGACTCACCCGTGATCTTGGGGATGCCCTCCAGCCTGGACACGGGCAAGAGGACCAGGATGCCTTGGTCAGTGCCCACCCACAGCAGGCCCTGGCAAATCAGGAGGCTGGTGACGCGGACGTTCTTCTGGCCTGGGGGAGGGAAGACGAGAAGAAGAGGAGAAGAAGAAGAAGAAGAGATTGGATTTATACCCCACCCTTCACTACCCAAAAGTGCCTCAGAGCGGCTTACAGACTCCTTTCCCTTCCCCTCCCCAAAACAGACACCCTGGGAGGCAGGTGGGGCTGAGAGAGCTCTTGATTTATCCTCTGGTTAATACATCTGAGCTGAACAGAGCTGCTGTCAGTTCTAGCCCCGTGCTGGTGTGAGCTACCAGTCTTGTCCCCAGCTCGCCGTCCACCCAGCAGTTCGAAAGCTTCGGCGAGTAGATAAAATGGGTACCACTCCTTAGAGAGGGTGGGCACACTAACCCCCCCCCCGGTGGGGGAGGTGTTAGCCGATGAATGGAATGTCCAGCGCGTAAGACCGAAAAGCCTAGAAAGAACTCTTTGGCATTAAGGAAGCCTGTAATAGGCCATCCGGCCAGGCAGTGGCAGTGCTGCCCTGCAACTTGAAGCAGTCCAGAGAAAGCTGACGACATCAAGCCACGCCGAGGGGAAAATGCCGTTGGAAGACGTCTGATCTTACAGCTGAACAAAACTCCCCGTCGGCTGCGAACGTGTGTGATTTAAAGATTATATGTTGTCCTCCCTTACCCCTTGAATCATTGTTAGTCCCATGTGTAATGGAGTAACTGTAAATTGCTCAGAGCCAGCAAGCTCTGCAGGATTGAGCGATTAATAAATTGAAATATTTATTTATTTTATTTATTTATTCAAGAACAGCTCTTATCAGAACTACGGCTTGCCCAAGGTCATCCAGCCAGGTGCAAGTGGAGGAGTGGGGAATCAAACCTGGTTCTCCCAGATTAGAGTCCGCCCACTTAACCAATACACCAAACTGGCTCTCTCTTTGGGTGACAAGAGGGTCACCCAAAGCACCCAGTGGGAAGGGTTGCCTCCCCTTCGGCCAGCGTAGTCCCATCCAAAGGCAGGCCCTGCCTCTCCCTTCCTCAGCTGCCCAGCCCACAAAGGAAGGCGATCACAACCTCCCCCCCTTCCACTTGAGCAATGAAGGGTGCCTGCTAGATCTCCCTCCCGAAGGAAATTGCTATGGAATTACAGCCACACTTCTCAAGGAAGCTATCCATGTAAAAGCCCTTTCACCAAGCTCCTTAAGGTAGTGGACAAAGAAAAAAGGGTCAACATGCACTGTTAGGAGGAGGGCGTCCCCTAAGGAAGAGAAAGGCCACAATGGAAGAGAAAGGGTGGGCTGACACACCTGCCAATAAAAGGAAGAAATCATGGGGGGCTGGGTGCAGGGGGTCTGGCACCACAGGGCCCCCCACACACACACACTAAGGCAGCCAGTCTGCTTGCAAAGGCTGGGCTTTGGACGTTCCCTGGGCCCAGGTGCCTCTGCCTCCGCAGGCGAGGAGAAGTTCCGGCTGTTTCCGGCTCCGCACAGACAACAAAGCGGGTAACTCGCTGCCGTGAATTAACATGTTCTCGGTGTCAGGCCGGATTAGTTCTCCCCACCTGATCAGCCAGGGCCTGTCTTCCCGGCTTAGCAAGAGAGGCAGCAAACGGGGAAAGGGAGGCTGGCGGGCAGATCGGCAGGGACACCTGTCTCTGGAGCAGGCGTATGGGGGGGGGGGGGGGAGCACGCAGTAGGGAGAGGGGTAGGCTATGGAGAAGGCCCCAAGGGCCAGCCAGTCAAGAAGGCATCCACTCACAGCCCATGTGAAACGTCTACGTATCGCCTGCCCCAAAGCCGGTGCAACAGCTGTGCTATAATGAGCTGTGGTCCATTTGGGCTTCGAAGCTTTTCTGCTTGTGCGGAATTTGAACCCAGAGCCTCAGGGTTTGAAACCAGGATTTAACCCGGCACGCTGTCTTGGAGTTTGCACTCAAAGACTCAGGGTCTCCTCTAGGTATAGAAGGGAACAGGGGCATGCAGCATCGGCTTCTGCAACCGGCAGACAATCGGAAACCTCTGGATTGTCCAGAATTGGTATCATAGGGTGCGTTCAGACGGGCCATTTGAGCCGGTATACGACCCGGTTAGAAACGGACTATTTACGCGCGATCACACGGTCAACATCTGCCTCCCGTCCCCAGACATCGCTTTCCAGCGCAAACCCCCTATAAAATGGAGTATTTTGACACCAGGTCCCCAAGTGGAGTTTTCCTGCTTCTCCGGTTCCAGCCGCATTTTCCCCGTGTGATCGCTCCTCCGCCAGTGTAGAGCCACTTCCTGTTCCCTGCTCAAAAGCTGCCTGAGGCTTCTGCTTTTCGCCTGCCATTTTTTTTAACGCGTCGGCAATATGCGCTTGGGCTGAGCTTCGCCCCGGCGTTAGTAAAACCAAAGTTTAAATGGTGCCTAGTTTTGCTGTGTATACGAGTTCGGGATCTCACAGAGGCCAGTTTTGGGGTAAAAGTGTGAAGGGAAGTGTTCATTTAAAGTTTAAAGGGAAGAGTTACAGCAGTTGGGTTGAAGGGGAAATCGCTGTTCTGCGCACGCGCGAAAATGTTAATACTAAGGATGGCCGCCTGCGTGCATGCCCAAACTGAGAGGGAAGAAACCTGTGTGAACGGCTGGGAGCGATGTGGCTGCGCAGCGATCCGGAACAAGGCGGTAAGTGTGATCGCGATTCTTCCAGCTTAAAAAAAAAAGTGCCTCGGACCGGAGCAGTTTAATGCCGTCTGACCGCACCCATAGTGCCAGGCAATGCCTTCAACCTCCAGCGTCAGCTTAAGCTCCCAGGTCCAGATCCAGAAACCGATCTCAGGGATCCTGGGTTAGAGAACAGGTTCCCCAGGTTCTGGATTCGAGTCCAACCACTTGGGCGTCTGAAGTCTCCTCCCATGGCGAGGACCACCCTACCCTTAGCAAGGCTTGCCGGGGCAAGGGAGGAGACCCCTATTAGAGCCCAGAGAGGAGAGGCGTCCTGGCAAAGTAGGGCTCCCCCAGGCTGCCTGCCTGCCTCCCTCGGGGCGAGGGCAGCGGGGGGGGGGGAGGCCAGCCAGACCACTCTGGACCTCCTTCAGGGTGGCCATCAGGTCTGCGCTCCGAGGAGTCCCACCTTGGGAACCATGTTTAGGATTCCCCTCACGCCTCACACTCTTCCCATTAAGCCTGGGGATGCAGTGGTGCATTTTAATTGCAAATTAGCTTCTGAAAGACCAGGAGAGTTGTGGGGAGAAAGGAGATGAAATCGTCAATAAAACAAGGTGGGAGCTGGAGAGCCTGGGGGGGAGGGGGGGGAGGGAGAGAGAGGAGTAATTGCCAGCATTAATAGTTAAGAAGCAATATTGTTCCCAACGAGCAAAGCTGTGTTAATACACACCACCGCGGGCCCTGTGGCTAGGTGGAATCCAACGCCCGGCCCCCCGTCAGATTTTGCACCGCCCTCACAGCTCCTGAGCCACCGGAAATCCTTGCCAGTGACATCTCTCCTGGCCCCAGGCCAACTCAACGCCTGGAGCCACCCCTCCCTCCTGTGGGCTGTGGTCCCCTCTGTCGCCTTCCACGTGGCCAGAAATGGAGGCTGGTACAGGGGAGCGCAAAGTTTTGGTCCAGCGTGCAGCAATGGCTGCACACAATTGGCACAACGTCTCCTGCATGCAACGAGGCACCTGGAAGGCAGGAGAGAGGCCGCTTGAGAAAAAGAACAACCTCTCTCTGCTGCCAGACTCCTCCTTGCCCATAGGCATGCAGGGGAGGGGCCTGTGGCTCAGCGGCAGAGCCTCTGCTGGGCATGCAGAAGGCCCCCAGTTCAACCCCCGGGCCCTCCAGTTGAAAGGACTGGGAGACGGTAGGAGATGGGAAAGACCTTTCTCTGCCTGAGGACCTGGAGAGCTGCTGCCGGTCTGAGTGGGCAGAACTGACCTTGGTGGGTCGAGGGTCCGATTCGGTAGAAGGCGGCTGCAGGACTGTTTCACGTGCTCCTTGGCCGCTGCAGTCATTTGGCTGACCTAGGGATTCCTTCTTGTGGTATCACCACTGGGACCACAGAGGGTGGGTTTCAAAGCCCACCCCAGCCACAGACCTCCTGGCACAAGACATGTCCTGCTCTTTGGCAAGGAGGTCCATCTCTGGAGGTAGGCTCGGGGGATCATTTTAATGGTAGCAAATGGACTGGTGTTTTGACCATTATTATGTTTTAATGTCGGGGAGGGGGGCTGACCATATGGTATTTTCTACCTTCAGGCAGCATCTGTTACTGAATGACCTTGAGCCAGAAATACACAGAGTCTCTCTCTCTCTTTCTTTCTCTCTCTCTCGCTTTCCAAGCCTATCCATCCTCACAGGGCTGTTGTAAATATGAAACCTCCACTCTGTGTCACCTTGAGCTCCTTGGATCGTGAATGCAAATATAACAGATCCGAAATAAAACATATGACCCTTCCTGATCTTAGCTATGGTGACAAATAAAAGATGTCCCCCTTTCAAGGGGGGGGGGGCGGCAATCTAATGGCAAATAAATATTTTATCTCAAAGACTTAACATTGCAACGTCAGACTCACTCAAGCGATATATCTGCGAATATACAACTTTTAAAAGGCTGGGTCCCTCTGCAAAGACTTTATTAATGGCCTGTCTAGTTAAAAAGGATGAGAGAGCTTAAGTTCAAAAATGCATTAATACCAAAAATGCTCACGCTGGGGAAGGAGAGAAGCAGCGATAAATTTTTTAAACGTGGCCTTTTTTAAAAAAAGAAAGAAAGGGGGGGGGACACTGAACACTTTACACGAGTAATGCATTTAGTACTAATTACACAATTACTCTGTGCCGCAGTTGGGAAAGAGATATCTAAAAGGCTCAAGGAAAAAAAATGAAAAGATTAATGAAGAATTTACGACGGCTTCTTCGGGCCACTCTGCCTTGCCAATGCTGCCGGGGAATATGCACAGTGCAGAGGTGACAGGAAGCACAAAAAAGGGTCTGGCGTGTGTGTGTGGGGGGGTGACCCCTTGGGGACCCTCGGCTGGCAAAGGGCGGGAGAAGTATACACACACAAGGACAACCAAGTCCCACAGTCCACACAGCAGATCTTTTCAGAGACTCAAATAATGCTACAACCACCTCACAAAAGGACGGGACAGCCGAGGGCCAAGCCAAAACGGGGCTTCCACCCTGCAAGTTTTGCGGCTGAGGAGGGATTTGAACTGGCTCCCTGCATACCTCTATGGAGGCCATATTGAAACCTTCTGTTAAAGTTAGATCAAGGTGGGGCAGCCATGCTGGTCTGAAGCAACAGGACAAAGTTAGAGTCCAATGGCACCTTTAAGACCAACAAAGTTTTAGTCAAGGTGTGAGGTGCCGTGTGCATGCAGGAAGTGCTGCATGCTGGACTCTAATTTTGTTCTTCTGTCAAAGTATTTCATTTCACCATTAGGGACTGAGCAAAGATTAGTGAGGCTAAGGCCAATCTGCTATATTTTAGATTGATCTGCCGTCCTTCAGGAAGTTTCTGTCTTTCCTCCCACCCTTACCCTAAATCTGTTTGTTGACCTCCTGATCTCTAAGTAACCTGATCTCAGTCAAGGGTCCGTGCCCTCTTCATCTTTCAAGGAAAAGTGCAGAAGGTTTGTTTTCCTTATGTTCCTCTTAGGAATGTGGAATGTACTCCAAACGGAAGGTAGAGTGAATTATGTTTGAGAACAGAATTGTTGAATTGCAGCAACAACCAAAGGCTGACCTCTTTGTTTTGTCTTATCCCATAAAAGGAGAACTTTGTATCTGTTCTTTATGCCAGCTCGTGACAAGCTCGCATCAGAATGATCGTTCTTAATAAAACTGCCTGCTTTGTTAGCAAAAAGCCTTGAGTGAATCTCTTTCTCTCTCCCAGATAAAAAAAGAAAAATTAGAAGGAGAGGAATAAAATGGAAGAACAATGACACAAAACGGGTGCACAGCAGTGAAAAAGGAGGAAAAGAACCTGGAATTGCAAACAAAGTCCATCTACTCTTTATGTGAAGAAGAGAGGCAGGCGGAGACAGTCTGCATGGTATGCCACGGGGCGGGAGGGTGGTAGATGCCCCAAGGGAGTTCACTCCGGCCTGAATTCTGGTTCTCACAAGAGGCCTCTCCTGCGTCCATCTTGCCTCGAGCCCTTTCACGAGCCAGAGTCTCTGTTTCTTTGCCTGCACATCTAATTTTGCAATGCACCCATAATTATGCAGGAGGCTCCATCTGCCAGTTACCTGGACCAGAGGTGGCCTGCCAGCATCCACGGGGTTTGGCAACACCGAAATGCCACTGCGCACAGCCACAATGGCTGCCCTTCCAGAGCCCCGCTCTGGAATGGCAGCCAGGACTTCCGCCCCCCTCGCCCTCCCAGGGTAGAGGCACGCAAGATGCCGTTCGGGAAGCATCTGCCCCGCAGCAATCTATGCTTGGAGCCCTTGCCCAGGGACACCCTGGGATCTTGTCACCCCCCCCACACACACACACACCTACCTGGCAGGGCAAAAGTGGTCCGTGTCGCAACATTGATCTCCTGTAGGTGTTCCAAGGTCTCCGTATGAAAGAGGCGGATGGAGGACCCCGAAGAGAAAGCCATCCAGACCCCACTGCCCGCCTTGATCATGTGAGTGACACTGGCTTCCTCCTCTGGGTGGGCTTCGAAGGTTTGCTGTGGGGGAGGGGGGAGTGAAAACAGAAAAGATATCTTGCGTGGGAACAGACTGGAAGGGGGAAGGGGGACAGATACAAAGCGTTTCACCAGTCCAAAATAAGTCCATTTAAACCCTAAAACCCTGGCTTTCCAGATATTCATTTGGAGAAACGCATTCTAAAAATCCTCAGTCTTGTGAATAAATAATCCCATGGTTTGCTAACCCTCTAAAATCAGAGAGAGCTATTCAAAATTCATATTAGAAACAGACAGAAGAGATGCTTCAGTGTGGGATAAACTGCTTAAGGAATCAGAGGAGAAGATGGGGGAAGATTATCTCATTATGGCTGGTCATCCCTAAAGAAGAGGAGGAGATTGGATTTATACCCCGCCCTTCACTCGGAGTTTCAGAGCAGCTTACAAACTCCTTTCCCTTCCCCTCCCCACAATATACAACCTGTGAGGTGGGTGGGGCTGAGAGAGCTCTGACAGAAACTGCTCTTGAGAGAAGAGGAGATTGGATCTATACCCCATGGCCCTTCACTACCCAAAGGTGTCTCAGAGCGGCTTACAGACTCCTTTCCCTTCCCCTCCCCACAACAGACACCCTGTGAGGTCGGTGGGGCTGAGAGAGCTCTGACCGAAACTGCTCTTTTTCAAGGACAGCTCTTGTCAGAACTATGGCTTGCCCAAGGTCATCCAGCAGCTGCAAGTGGAGGAGTGGGGAATCAAACCCGGTTCTCCCGGATAAGAGTCCCCGCACTTAACCAGGACACCAAACTAAATGCTTGGCTACCATGGACAGCTCACATGGTGGCAGGAGCCAGGTCACTTTCACAAGACAAGGAAGTCACAGAACTTGAAAGCTCTCCGCCTCTCCTCGCCCTCCCAAGAGAGGCAAGGGTCACAGCGCAAATTGCTAAACCAAGTCAATAACAAGAATTGGTATCCTGGCTGTCAGGATTCAATATATATATATATAAATACAGAGTAGGAAATGGATTTTTGTTTCGATTCCACAGGAACAAGTCTCTTAGCGTCCCCTCTGGGCTTTTTAAGAGAAAAGGTTTCATTCCACAAGCACACTGAATCTTGAAGTGCCTCCTTGGCAAAGGGAAGAAAGAAAAGAAAAGCAGAATCGGTTTGACCACAGAGATGGCCTCTTCAACACGCAATTACCCAAGAACTTAATCCGTCTGCCTGTCTGGTTTCAGTAATTTTCCTTTCAGACCCTTCTCAGGTCTTCCGTGGCTCAGAACAAGAGTATGGGGGGGGGGCCCGGACCCTGCCAGGGCTCAGTCATCAATAACAGGACAGCAAAGATGGAGAGAGTGCCTCTGAGTACACGCAGAGTCTGCAGTTGCTTTCATACGGCGACTCTCCCCTACTTTGCAGCCATGCTGGGGCATTCCGAGCAGCACCAGAGTGGCCGTCTGCACATCGGGGAGGATTCTATGTGCTTTTCTTGTGGCTGCCCCCCCCCCCACCAAAAAAGACCCCTGCACCACCAAACAGCTTTTTAACTGCCTTTTTAAAAAATAAAAACTGGTAGTTGCTGTATACAGGCGGTGCAGGGAGGGAATGGTGCCCGGACGGAGAAGAGCACAGCAAAGGGTCACCCGTGTAGTTGGGAGGTTCAGAAATGCACCACCTTCCCTTCCGCACAGCACGAAAACCCACATGGCCCACAATCCGTCAGGAGACAGCAGACCAAAGCAGATCTCGGGAAGGCCTGAAAGAGGACAAAGGGAGAACCAGGCTGTGTTTACTGACTGGCAGTAGGTCTCCAGGGCCGGGGGAGGTGCAGCAAGGCCTTTCCTAACCCTGGACGCGCAGTGTTCCCTCTAAGCTGAGTTTGTGTGAGCCAGCTCACAGCTTTTTAGCCTCCGGCTCACACATTTTTGTCTTAGCTCAGCAGGGCTCTTTTTGTAGAAAAAGCCCAACAGGAACTCATTAGCATAATAGGCCACACCCAACAGCAGAAACTCATTAGCATATTAGGCCACACCCCTGACACCACAGCTCATTGGCATATTAGGCCACAACCCCATGTTACCAGAAGTGTGCTCATCCAGCCACACCCACCTTTTGCTTCTTATTCTGTTTACCTTGTTTGTTGTCAAAACCCAGGGCTTTTTTGTAGCAGGAACTCCTTTGCATGTTAGGCCACACACCCCTAATGTAGCCAATCCTAATGAGTTTCTGCTGTTGGGTGTGGCCTATTATGCTAATGAGTTCCTGCTGGGCGTGGCCAACTTGGGAGCCAGCCGGAACTCCATTCCTGTGCGTTCCTGCCCCAAAATCGCCCTGGCTCAGGAAGGAGGGCTCCAGAGCAAACTAATTTATGCAGTAGCCAAATGGCTCGCTCACAACTTTACTGCCAGGAGCTCACCAAGTAAAATTTTTGCTCAAAAGAATCCACAGCTTAGAGGGAGCATTGTAGCTAGTGTTCCCTCTCAGCTGAGTTAGTGGGAGACGGCTCACAGTTTTTTAGCCCCCGGCTCGCACATATTTGTCTTAGCCCAGGAAGGATGGCTCCAGAGCAAACTGATTTGTGCAGTCGCCCAATCGCTCTCTCACAACTTTAAGGCCAGGAGCTCACAAAGTGGAATTCTTGCTCACAAGACTCCACAGCTTAGAGGGAGCACTGCCCTGGAGATACCCAGAACGGACCCTGCCGTCTTCCACAGGCTCCTGCTCTGGCCTGGCCCCAAACCAGGTGCAGATTGCTGCTGCTGCTGGGGCTTCTGCCGCCCTGCCGGGCGAGGGTACTCAAACGCTCCTGCCAGGCAGGCAAGACGGAGCCCCAGGGCCTGCCTGTTTGGAAACTGCTCACTGGGGAGGAGGGGAGAAAATCTCCACTTGAAAACCCATCAACAAGAAACAGCCCTCCAGGGGGATTCTCCTGCACAGGAGCCCGCTCGCTTTCTCTGGCTCTGACCTTTCGCTGCATTACAGATTTCCCCTGAAGGGATGCAAAAGAGGCTCGGCTGGAAACAGGAGAAGAAGTTGCATGGAGGAGGAGGAGCGGCAACTGGCAAGGCAGCGGCTTCTCTTCTCTTCTGAAGAGCTGCTGGGCGGCAGCAGCAGCCGTGTAAGAATCAAGGACGTGCTCAAGGTTGGGGGGGGGCGGTAGGGGGGGCGGTAGGGAGAGAGAGGCAGCCCCACCTGCATGCTCCACATATTTGCAGATTATGTTTTCTGTTATCCAAAGAAGCTTCAAGGCCACTGAAGGAAAGTGGGCCGGAGGGGCCGGCGAGATGTTCGAGAGAGAGAGACAGCCATCTTGTGCTCAGCCCCAGTGTCAGGCCCACCGTCCGTGTCTGAGCACCGATCCCGCACTCTTGGGGTGGGGAGGGAGGAACCCAAGCTGGCTCACTGCCCCAGGAGAGGAGCAACCCCCCCCCCCGCAAGGCAGTGGCAGGACGGTGAGTTGAAGAGAAGCGCCAGGTTTCTTTCCTTCTCCAAGAAGACCCGGCTGCCAATGAGCCGCTATTTGCCACTCAGGAACAACTGGGGGGAAAGACGGTTCACATCAGTCATTTAATAATTTACTTATTCATGATGCCTGTGTATTCTGGGTAAGATTTCGCCGATGAGAGATGCCATTGTGAGAAGAAGAAGAAGAAGAATCCTGTGGAGGTACATCTGCAATTTCCAAGAACTTGGCTAGACCTCCAATTGCAGAACACCATCTACCACTCAAATATCTAACTGTGATAATTCATAATAATCATCCTAATAATGACCGTCGCGTCAGCTTGCTGGTTTTGCACACTAAAGGATGCTTCTGCGCCGCCATCCCGTTTCTGCAAATCCCACAGCCGCTCCTAACAAAACAGAGAGACAAAAGGTCCGCTTCCACCAATGGAGGTCTCGCGTCATCTTCCAACTGTCCTCCCATTTCAGGATGAGAATGCAGAGGCCTCCGAGGCAAAGAGGCCAGTTCTGCCGGTGGTCCACCGCCCCCTTTCTTGCCTGAGTCGAGGGCTCCTCTTTCGCACCTCCACCCGCCTCACCAGAACTTCCATGCCAACAGTCACAGGGGTACTACGAGACACCCCCCCCCCCGGGATTATCGGGAGAAGACTCTCTCCACCACAGCCATGCCGGGAAACCTCCGCCCTGGTGCTCCAGTGAATGTCAGCGACTCGGGGACTGAGAGCACCCAGGCCTATAGACCGGGCCCCAGTCCCCACCGTCCTGTGCTCCCGAGGCAGACGGCCGGGGGAAGGGGAGGGGAGGCAGGCGGCTCAAGCCAGAACCACACACCAGGATCCTCTTCTGTGCCCAGGGAACAGAGCCAGTCTTGGGCTGCAGCTCAGTCGAAGGCTCCATGGCCTACGACACTCTGGCCACAAAACGCCACGAGGCTGTTGCCCTCAAGCGCCTCCGGACTGCCCCCCCCCCGCGCCGCCCCTGTGATCCAGGCCCTTCCCGAGGCTACGAGCTCATCGACAGGGGCTCAGGGCCCCTCCGAAGCAGCCAAACCCCCTCTGCTCCGACAGAGAGCCTCTCTGCAGCATCCCGGCGCCCGGCACGGCCATTTACTGCCTGCATTATAAAACCCTGAATATTATATTGAAAATGCTGACACAACCCTACCTGCGGCGGCAACAGCCGCATTTATGTACCTCAAAATGTCTATATAAAAACGGAGCGCCTATAAATCCTGCCGGGCGGCAGGAGAGGCATAAAAAGTCATATTAGTATTGACGAGGCATCGAGGTGCCAGCGCGGAGCCGGTGTGCCAGCTACTCCTGCGGGGCGGGGGATCGTGCTGGCACTGCTACATCTGCCAAGGAGGATGGGAAAACCCTCTTTGCCCACAGGGCCAGGGGCTGGCAAGGCGGGGGCACCACAACCCTCCCTGCCTCGGCGGGGAGGGCGGGATATAAGTCGAATATATAAATAAGTAGAAGAAGAGGAGGAGGAGGAGATTGGGTTTATACCCCCCCGCCCTTCACTCAGAGCGGCTGGCAAACTCCTTTCCCCTTCCCTCCCCACAACAGACACCC